GATATTTGGTTTTTGGCCCTTCATACGCAAAAGTTTGGGCACCCCCCCCCCCTTTTTTTTAAAACCAAACTCCCGAAAACCGCTGCTTTAGTTACAAATGACTTTCGCAATAATCCAACTTTCGTCACACGATTTGGACGGAAAAGCAGCTATAATGTCAAAAACACAAGTGCATTCTGCAGCCGCTGCTAAAATAGAAAGCACGGCCTGGACAGGAACGGCAGGTTTTCGGTAATCATTAGTCAGAATGGTGAGCGTGGACGCGGAGCCAGCAGTCAAAACAATCCAGTGTGTGTATGTGGAGAGTATCAGTGACCCGGCGCAGAGCTGGAACATATCAACCTGTCTCAGAAAAGGCCACTGCAGTCCCATTCAACTCAGTGTGTATATATATGTGTGTGTGTGTGTGTGAATCCATCTCGCTGCTTTAAAAAAACAGCATGAACCTGGCGACCCTTCGATGGTGCCAGTCATCCCAGAAGCGGCTCTGACCAGCTATTTTACTAAATCCAAAGCAGACCTGATCTATGATCTTGTTGTTATAGTCTCGCAGAGCCAGATGTTTGACTATAGGCACCTTATGAACCGCCCACCTTAACAGGAATGACCTTCATGTAAGACGACTAAACACATTTTATTCTTTACGGCTGATGTTTTGGGGGGAAATTGATGATAATACAGTATACCAGAGTGTAGAAAAAAGACAGTTCATTTAAATAGCAAGCAGTCTAAAAGGGAATGGTGCGCAAAATTGATGTAGATTTTTTAGGCAGATATTACTACACTCAAACCGAGTTGAATATAACTTTTGACATGAGTAGAAACAACACAATTATTAATTACTTTGGGGCATAACTTGATTGTTTTATGTTCAATCCACTTCAATTTGGAAAACCTTCAAGTTAAACAAAATGTGATGTACACATGAAGGAATTGTGTGGAACCCAGCATTTTCTACAGTGTAAGAAGATTAAAACTGTGGCGAAGTGTGTACATTTACACAATCCCACATAAATGACACCGGCCAAACTTTACAATAAGGTTCCATTAGCTAATGTTAGTTAAATACTAACGTGAAGTAATAATGAAGAATACTTTTACAGCATATATACTTGTACAGAAGCGAGAGCAGATAAGAAGGAGCAAAGCCAGAAGTCGCTTTGTAAGCAAACATCAGAGCTTTGAATTTGATGCGAGCAGCAACTGGCAGCCAGTGCAAGCGGATGAGTAGCGGAGTGACATGTGCTCTTTTAAGTTAATTAAAGACCACTTGTGCTGCTGCGTTCTGAAGCATCTGAAGAGGTTTTGATAGAGTTAGCTGGAAGCCCCGCTAGTAGAGAGTTGCAATCATAAACAACAGCAGCATAAATAAACTGAACAAATATATTGCAGAAGTCACAACTATTTATTATAACCAAACCAAACCAATGAAACTTCCAAACTCCTCAAACTTGATTAAACCAATCAGCCTTTCAAATTGAGGAAATGTCTTTAAACTTGTCTTTCCAAGACGCATTAAATCAATTTGCCCATGAAAATGCTGACTAATCAGATGGCGAGTAAAACTATAAACCAAATGTGCTGGACATTTTAGATTGTCAACAACCGACTGAATCGCGCTGACAGAAAACAGAGCACACAGCCTCACTTTTCCCTCTCCTGTCATTTTCAGCTGTTGAAACACTGGCAAATCTTCCAGAAAGAAAGGACTGGCGTGCTTCAAACCATCATCGCCTGATGGAAATACAGCTGGATGCCAAGCTGCTCCCGCATGTATGAGCGTTATCGGACTCTCCTTGTTTTTCTGCCAACATCTGCCTGCCCGCTGTCCTTCTGCTCGCACCATGGACCGTCTGGAGACAAAAAATCACTACCAGTAAACACTTGCGATCTGGCAAAGTGACATCGCTTATCATGCGAACTCCGAAAACTGACTTTTGTGTCCACCGTGACCGCTCTGAATGGACTGACAACACATGGTTTTGACTAGTTCAATTACCGGCAGAGAGTAAATATTGATTGTTACAGCATCTTTGCATAATGGAAGCGATTTAATAGGCCGGTTTAATCTTTTATCACGACCCCGAGCTGGAGGAGATGAGCGTTGCCAGATTGAAATGACTCCATGAAGAATATAAACACAAGATCACGTCGTGTCACACGGGTTATATTTGCAGCGTTCTGCCAAATGCGATACTTGGCATGGGATGCACAATTCCAGCCTTTCAGAGGCTCATAATATATAGCCAGAAAAAGCATTCGTTTTATGCAGTGCTGTAAAATATAATGGGCCCTAATCGGTGCGTCATCAGCTTTTGCGCTTACTCCCTGCGATTAGGTGAAAAGTAACCCATATATCCTAAATTAGGAAAAAAGAAAAGCATTCAGGAAGCAGGAAGGCCGTAGCAGACGGGAAGCTGACACTCGGAATGAACTGTACACCATGTAACTCCAGTCTAACATCCTAGCCAATGATAACAGACATAACTGTTGCTGAAAGATATCGATTTAGAGCTGATTCATGCCATCCCACGCTCTGCCGGAACGATAATAAGCTTGATTATATTTGCATTTTTATTAGCCATAATTCTTTTTGACATGTGCATGAAACAGCTGTGGTCTGTGTTTGCAGAAACGCACAGTTCTCTGATAGTTCTCATCTAGGGCTGGAGCAAAATGTCTATTTGGGTCAATGCCTCTGGCGTTTATAGGGAGTGTCGCTTTGCCTTAAATGGTCAAAAGGCTCGCAAATGTGCCAATATCCTGATGTTTAACATTTGTCATGTTAACGCCAGTTTTCTGCTTTAATAGCACGCTCTGTCAAGCTTTGGGCTAGAACTGCGTTACAATTGGAAAAGCCTCATTTTCACATTTGGCTCAAATTAAAATGTCCTCCAATAACATTAGTTATTTTGGTCACACTTTATTTTGATGGTCCGTTTGTTGAATTTAAGTTACACTGCATCTACATGCCAACTAATTCTCATTAGATTATAAGTAGACGGTTAGGTTGGGGTTAGTGTAAGTTGACGTGTACTAGCAAGGTTTCTCATAGTCAGTTAAATGTCTGTTGGAGGAGCAGTATCATCAGATATTAAGCAGACAGTCTACTAATACTCAAATGGACCATCAAAATAAAGTGTTACCATTATTTCTCTAGTAACAATTACTAGTAAGATGGTTAGACACTAGTTAAATATTTATTTAAATATGTGGATGATATGGTACTTGTTGGCGAGCTGAGCTCTAGCGAGGGGGAGCTTGAGCTTGAGCTCCACCTTTTTTGCACTTCTTCTACGAGTGATGTCACTGGGGGTAGGGTTAGGGGTGGGGTTGGTGTACGCATTAAAACAGCTTACAGGAGGCAGAGTGAGAGCTCATGCTCCCCCTCGCTGGAGCTCAGCTCTGCTCAAATGGCTCTGCAGCGAGCACCCTCTCTTATTTTTTGGTATTTATCTTTAGAAAATCACTGAAGGCATATCTTATGTTATCAGAACGAGACAATAGGATCATAATTTTATTGTACATTTACAACATGGCCATATTCATCTATGTAAACACGAAAACAACATTAACGTTATACCAGACACCGGAGCTTAATTTGTGCTGCAACAAGCCAGATTCGTAACCTCTGAAATCTGATCCGGCATTTCATTTTACCAATCCCCCTCTTTACATGCATCCCCCGCTCTTCACTTTCTTTTGCAATTCCCCAACCCTCTTTGTCCGCTACTCCCCGAACTTCTCCGTCTGCGACACCTCTCCCTCCTCTGGTAACATGCTACATCCTTTACCCCAATCTGTATCAGGAACTCACATTTTACACATTAAGCACTGCCAGACACTGTAAAAATGTCATTCCCAGCCAGAGAATGGTAATTAGCAGAAATAAACTAGTTCTTACTCAAGGGTTGAAAACTCTGGTCCTTGAGAGACATCAAATAGAGACGGTGCATGTTTTAAATATGTAGGAAACATTTACTGATAATAAATTGACATTTGCTGGAAAAGAGAATGTATTTTTTCACACACACACACACTCAGTGCTGAGTCTTGATATACTGTCTTGATGCGTTTTCTCTTGCCTTGCTTTGATCCTCGCCTTGCGTGTTTGTTTACGTTTCCTGCTGCCTGCCTGTACTGACTATTTACCTGAGTATTTGACTACGACTCTAGATTTGCCTGCATACATCTTTTTGCTCCTGATTGTGAGCGTTGCTAGCTTGACCATTCTCAATAAACCTGCATTTTGATCCGCACCTCCGTTGTCAGCGCCACTTCACATTACACAGTGGTAACCCTGGATTTCATAAATAGCCTTGCATTTACTAACACAGACCATATTTGAAGTATTTGGGAGTTATTTGAGTTTCCTCCTGTAGATAAACGTCTTAAGAATGATGCTCAGTTGCGCAATGTATTACAACAGTGTTTTTAAAAGACTAAACACTTCATTGATATAGTGTACAACTAAGCACATGTGGTCAGAACATGAACAAGTTGCAGGTAATGAAGTATTAAGCGCATCTCCCAAAGAAAAGCCCATCTAAGCAAAATTATATCAGGTGTCTGTAGCTCCACTCATGCTCCGCCTCTTTGCCCTTATATGGTAACCCTTGGTAAGTGCGATTACATGCGAACAAAATGGTGACGGTTGGCCACACCTACTTGTAGCTTCATTTGCGGTCTTCAGAAACCTATGGGTGGCGTCAAGGATACTATGTCCATATCTTTCACAGTCTATGCTTGTTACTCATACTTGGAGTAATATTTACCACAGATTTTGGGTAAGTAATGGTACTTTTACTTGAGTTCGATTTTTCAGTACTTTTTCGATATTGTGTTCAATTGAAAACACATCAAGAGTGACTTTTAAATCTTGCGTAAGTTGACAATCAGTAACAATCATCCCCAGCGGTGGCTGTGCAATGAATCTGAAGACCTCGCCACATTAACACCACTTAAATAGCAGTGTGAACTGACTGAAGAGTTAGCGTTACCTCTCAGCCTCCAGACGCATCTCCTCGCGCTTCTGTCTCCTGAGCTCCCTGCGGCGCTCGAAATCATCATCCATGCTTCAATCCTGAGTGTCAGACTCTGCAAAACAACAGAACATGTGTGTTATGCTTCACTCTCACGCCCCAACACAAACCAACTCTTTGCTTGATATAATCATGTGCATCTGGATTCCACAGCTGCTGTCGAGTATTAGCTTAACCTTTTCAGAAAAAAAATAATAAAAATCATGCATTCCCAGATGCAGGCGATCTTTCGACATCAAACGGATCACAAGTTTGTTTTCGTAATACCACTTAAAATGGAAATGGTGTGGGGGGGAGAGAGAGAGGGAAGAAAGCGAGAGAATGGCTGAGGAAAGGATGTTAGCACAGGATGTCCACTCAGTCAAGCAGAAAGACTCTGACTAAATATACTGCGGGGTACATGGTAAGCCCACCCAAGAGATATTGAGCTGTTGTCATTAATCTCAGCGCTGGGACGCCTCAGACGGGCCGTTTCGAGACCGGCGTATACCTGATGATAACCTCTGGAGCGTTTCAGCTTTCAAAACATTGCAGAAATTCACTCTCTGGCGTCCCGATTATACACCAGCACAAAGAGTATTTCAGTCTCTTTCTCGCTGCAGCTGGAGCTACCAGAAAGGGCCAAAGCCGGCCTCTTCCTTTCCTTTTTTTCTTCTACACCCTCCCTACTTTCCTCCATTTTTCTCCCTCCCATTATGGTGCAAACTCTCAATCACGGCCTCCTCCCTCTCTCACTGTCCCTCTCTCGCTCTTTCCGACTTACAATTATTGCCCATTCCATTCCTTTTCCTTTTTCCCCCCCCTCCATCCCGATTGTTCCCTCCCTCTCTTTTGTGATCTCAGAGCTGTTGCTGGACAGTTGGGCTTTTTCATTTTGCTTATGGAAGTCTTGCACATTTCTTATTTGATACGATTTATAGATTTGAAGAGATGCAAAAATGAAAGCGTTGTCTGAAATTTCCACAGAAAATGTCCATTACTCTAAGTCTCCTTGAGTCATTTCACTTTGAAGAGCATAAAATAAGAAAGTCTTTGCTATAAAACTAAAATGTCTGAACCTACACACAAGAGTCTAATGACAATGCTCAATTTAGAGGAAAAGTTCAGATTGCATTCAGTGGTTTTTGCATCTGAGCTCTTCATATGTAGATAATTAAAGTACTTAAATATGGTACAAGTAACCTTCAGAGTTCATTCAAGATCAATAATTGTAATTAAAGATTGAGCGTAATGTTTTTAATAATGTGTTTTTTTTTTTGGTAATGTAAGAACAATGTTACTTTATAATTGCTTTTATTTATGCATTACCTGTCCAGCTAAATTATATTTTGCTTTCATGTGCATTTGTCCCTTTTTGTTCTGTTGTTCTGTCATAGGTTAGTGTTTTAATATGTTGTATTTTATATCTATTATTATTGTACTGTCTTGTTTTTTCTTTCTATTTTTGTAGTTTTGTTGTAGTTTTATAGAATGCAAAAAGCACATAAATAAACGTTTTAAAAAGGAGTCAAAAATTAAGTTTAAGAGTTTGACAATGAGATTAAGAGTCAGCAATTAAGTAGAAAAAGGTTAAACTATTTACGGTTTGTAGATGTTTCGAAACAAGTAGTTGTTAGTAAAAAAAAAAGTTGCAAAAAAGTAGTAAAACAACGTAGCAAATATGCTACAAGATACATGTGAAATTGCTTCAAGTACACAGAAACTAAATGCTTAATAATGGCAGCAAACAAAACAAAACAAAAGGCAAAAAACAAAAAAACAGATGCATAGTGATGTCAGAAAACCAATCAAAACAATTAGTGAAGTCAGCAAAGCAAAACAAAACACTTAGTGATGTCAGGAGACCAAACAAAACCATACAAAAGAGATGTCAACAAACAAAACAAAACTCTTAGTTATGTCAATAAATAAAACAAAACTTTTAGTGATGTCAACGAACAAAACAAAACTCTTGTTGATGTCAACAAACAAAACAAAACTCTTGTTGATGTCAACAAACAAAACAAAACTCTGAGTGATGTAAATAAACAAAATAAAACTCTTAGTTATGTCAACAAACAAAACAAAACTCTGAGTGATGTCAATAAACAAAACAAAACTCTTAGTGAGGTCAACAAACAAAACAAAACCCTTAGTGATGTCAGCAAACAAAACAAAACTCTTTGTAATAACAATGCTCATTTTAGAAGAAAATTTCTGATTGCGTTGAGATTTTTGCATCAGAGCTCTTCATTTGTAGATTAAAAATAAAAAGTATTTCAATATAGTTACCTGCCAAGTTGATTCAAGAGTCAATAGTTGAGCTTAAGAGTTTAACAATGAGATTAAGAGTCAATAATTAGGTAGAAAATGATTAAATTATTTAAGATTTGCAGATTTTTCTAAACAAGTGGTGCACGGTTAAACGGATAAAGACCGCAATCTCGATTTGACCCCCCCATATGATCTTAATCCAGCATCTTTATGATTCAGTCAATTATATTTTCAAGTTCGGGAGAAGCATGAAGCTCGGGAAGGTGCATTTGGAACACCTCCAAACAGTGTTTAAAGTGTGACATACAGTATTTATAAGATATAATTCACCCAAAATTGTCATTTCTGTCTTAATGTAATGATGTATTTGCGGCTGCGAAATCACACATGAGCTGACACACTGTTTGTTTAATAGCGAGTGCACAACTGATGTCTTTAGGGAACAAAACCTGCATAGGCTGTGAATAACAGGTAATAAAGTTGTAAAAAAGCGTTCAGTTCGTTGCAAGAGCAATTGTTCTTAAGCTGCATGTAAAGTATGATATGCATGTATATTTTTTTCTTTTATAGCGAACACCAAGTGTTGTGCATAAAAAAATAATTACTGGGTCAGTATAACTACTCTAGCCTATATAATGTTGAATGCAATATATAAGATAATTAATCAGGCACAAAAACTATTAGGAATTGGTGTGAAAGCATCACACTGCAAGAGATACATTCACACTAAATGTTTAACTTGCATATTTTGATCTACTTCATTTAAACAAACAAGCAAACCAACAATTCACCTTTTTTAGTACAAAAGTAGCTTGTTGTTGGAAAAATTTCACTTTTTTTATTTGTTTGGTCACAGCATTGCTACTGCATGCTTCTGAAAAACTTATTTTAAGAGTTCACACTTAGATATTGTTTGACAACTGTCAGCAGATTTGGCATGCTGTCCCGGGAGAGAACCCTGAGCTCGGAAATAGTTGAGCCCAGGGGTTCTGCCAGGTCCATAGAGCATGCGAGAGGAGTACGAGATCAGGTGGTTCTCGAGAGCTCCACGGAAGTTAAGGAGGAAAGGAGGAGAAGGGGGGTTTCTTCGGAAAACGAAGATAAGGGAGTAGTTCTAGCTAGGCTACTTATAGCGAGTTTGGATGAATCTGTTTGGCTAACTAATGAATGTAGATGGGTGGCCAGCTGCAGTCTATCATTTTTTTCCTCTTGAAATTAGTTTGTAAAACTTCACCTACTGTAACTATTGTAAATTTCCTCAACACTGCAGGATAAACAGAAAGTGTGCAAGAAACAAGAGAGGAAGAGGGTCCCAGACACAAGCACAGGAAACACTTCTCCCCTCAAACCCCTCCTCCATATTCGCAAAACACCATGAATGATGTAGAGCGAGCGAAAAGAGAGAAAAATGGACAAAAACAAAAACAACAGCGGGAGAGGAGAAGCGAGGAATGTAAGCTAGAAATGAAGAGCCAGAGATTTGGAGCCGGTCTTTCTTATCAGGCAGAACCGCAGGAATGTGCGCTATCTTTAGCTGGATCTTCTGTTTGCAGGAGCACGGCTGCGCTTCAAATCTGAGCCCTTGAGCAAACAGCACTGACTCAGCTCAATAAAACTGTCACAACCACATACGATCAGCTGCGATTGAATCCGATGACTACACAAGCTAAATTTATGACTGAAACTCAGGTTTGAGTTTGTGATGTGATGGGCCGACGTGTTCTAGCACAAAAACATGACAATAAGGCCTCTTTTATTGGGAAAGAATGCAGAAATGGATTTGTCTCTTCCTCTGGAAGACCACCCGTGTGTGTCCCAAGATTCACATCATCGCACTTTTTTCCCTCTCGAAAGTTTCATAACTGGGGTCTGGCTTCCCCCAGTAAGCACAGAGACGCCTCCTGTCTAGAGAGCACGCGCAGTAATGGCTGTAATAACACATTTACCTGGTAAATTACTATGTTCCTGGTAAGTGCAGTGCTTAACCCTTCATCAAAACTCATCACGGCAATGACCCATGGGAATGCAGTCCTAGAGCCTCCTTCTGTGATGTTCTCTAGGTTGCGAATGCACACACTAATGCCTGCGCCAAACCACACGAGCCACTTTTTTGGCTGTCTTTAAACTCTGCTGAGAAAGGGAGCAGCTAATGAAGAAAAGCGAAAAAAAGGTGGCAGATGGAAAATTGTCCTTACTGTAGCTGACGTGGGATTATAAATGATTTTGGTTAAAATAGGGCTACTGAAACGTAAAACATTTGAGCATGAAATAAATTCAAAATTAAGAATGAATAACTTAGAATGAAACTATATTAAACAAGAAAAATTTTATGGTTTTATATGAGATGAAAAAGATTAAAAGATGACAAAACAAAACAAAACAAGTGGGCTTGTGATGTCAACAAAGTAAAGCAAAAAACAAACAAAAAAAAAAAAAACAAGAGGGCTTGATAATAATCAAGAAAACCAAACTAAATAACACTGCCCGGTGATGCCAGCAAATAAAAAAAAGAAAAGAAGAGACAGAACACAAATAAATACTTTGTGATGTCAGCAAGTAAAAACAAAACAAACGCTTAGTGATGGCAGCAATCAACACAAAACAAAACTCTCAGTATTGTCAGCAAACAAAGCGAAACAAAACAAAAAGCAAAACAAAACAAAACCAAACCCTTAGTAATGTCAGCAAACAAAATAAAACATGACTCTTAGTATTGTCAACAAACAAAGCAAAGTAAAACAAAAAGCAAAACAAAACAGATGCTTAGTCATGTCAGAAAAACAAACAAAACCAATGTTTACTGATG